ATAGAAGTTTAGATGGAGTTACTGGGGAACTTACTGATTTCGCGCATACGCACTCCATTTTTGCCAACATAAAATCAGGAGAGTTGCGCTACTATATATACTGTGACACGGTAGTGTCTCGACGCTAAGCGCAGCTATACTGCCGTGTCTCCTTTACGCGAGCCGGCGAGTTGCGGGGGATTGAGATTATCGGATCTCAATAACGGCTGAACTGAGTTCTATATACGCTCAATCGATAGCTACCGCTCGGACTAATAAAAGTGTTTTTATTTTTTTTCTATGTGCCCTACGAGCGGAGATATTGCGACGCAAAGTCCGATGTGAAACTTTTAAGATACGTCGTCATGTTTATTATGTTCATTAGGCCGGAATCAGACTACGCATTGAATATTGAGATTGAAGATTGAAAGATTGAAATTTAACCAATCAAAACAATAGGAGTTAAAATTCCTTTGTCCTCACTAGTCAAATTTTAATCTTCAATCTCAATCTTCAATGCGTAGTCTGATTTCTAATCATCATTATGTTCGTCGCCCACTCGTATATATAGTCAAACTGGCCAAATGTACTGTTGCGTGTTTTAGCGCGAGAGTGCGCTAGTCATCCAGCATGAATGTACTGTTGGAATGTTTTGGCGCGAAAGTGCGTTACATTAGCATATTGATGCAACAAACGTTAGCGGTGGAAGGCAAACAAAATTATATGCTGATACTTATTATTAATTTTAATTTTAATAACTCAACTAGGAAATGATAATGAAAAGCGATTTATTCGACTATATATAAATATCATTGCATATTTGTATGATAATCTTGAAGTTGTTGAGAGGGTCCAGAAGCATCTTCACCACTTGTCATATCGTCATACCTGAGCGTGCGAAATATCAGCTCCGTTATTAGTAAACTTTGATCGCTATTAATTTAAAAACTATTATAGCTTCGATATTTTCGTATTAGTATTTTCGTCTTAGAATGTTCCAAAGAATTCGTTCTTAAAATGATGTTCGTTGGATTTGAAACATTCTGTATACATTAATTTGTTTCTCTTTTTTTATAGATAATTATACGCTTCCGAAAGGTGTCATGATCACATTGGCAATCTTATTAACACACCGAAACCCGACGGTTTGGCCAGACCCAATGAAATTCGACCCGGATCGCTTCCTTCCAGAGAACTCGAAGAACAGGAATCCGTACGCCTACGTTCCGTTCAGCGCTGGACCAAGAAACTGTATAGGTCAGAAATTCGCTCAACTCGAAGAGAAAATCGTGTTGACTGCTATCCTCAGGAAATGGAGAGTGAAAAGTGTGAAAACAGTCGACACGATTAAGTTCGCCGGCTCTCTCATTTTACGACCAAGTGAAGACGTATTCATACATATTACGCCGAAGAAATGAAGTTTGCTATCAAATATATGTTTTTATAACATGACTTTTATAATTTTTCATTAATTTTTTCTTATTATGTAATTATAATACGTATTATATAAATGCACATACACGTAGGCCCGTATTCAGAATGCGCTTTTATCAATAAAAGCGCGCTCTTATTTCTGAAATTCTATAATATGCGTGACGAAAAGTATAGTATGTTAGTGCGCTAGCATCGTTGTAAGCATTCTGAATACGGGCTATGTGTACATACAACAGCCTTGCATATATATTACTGTTACGTCCAAACCCTTGGAAATTTTAATTCAAGGAGATAATGAGGGAAATGGAGAGGGAATAAATTTAAGGAAGCCTTAAGTACAAGGTCTGACTATGAATACGAGCATAAGTTAATCGAAGCTTGGTGATAATGGCCCTAAGGAAAGCGGTGCAGGAACATAGGAGTTATTACATCATGCTTCAACGTATAAAACAACTTTGTTGGGACTAGAGATTACATGATTATACAATATTATAATATATATATATACAATATTGAGTTCTTAGAAAATTAGGTTTAGATACTTAATATGAAAGATTAGTTAGAAAATTTGGATGGAAATGGAAATGGAAATGGAAAGGGAAATGGAAATCGAATTGGAAATGGAAATGGAAATGGAACTGCAAAATGGAAATGGAAATGGAAATGGAAATGGAAATGGAACTGGAACAGGAAATGGAAATAAGAATGGAAATCGAACTGGAAATGGAAATAGGAATGGAAATCGAACTGGAAATGGAAATCGAATTGGAAATGTAAATAGAAATAGAAATGGAAATGGAACTGGAAATGGAAAGGGAAATGGAAATGGAAATGGAAGTGGGAATGGAAATGGAAATGGAAATCCATGTGCATGCATGTGATATGGATGTAGTAGTACTTAGTGTGTAGTAATATATATATATATATATGTGTGTATACACATATACAATATATAACCTAGAGTGTTCCATTTTAATTTTCATATGAAAGTAAGTTTATTTAAACTTAAGGATTCCTCACTCTCAGACTAAATACGATCTAATGCCATAATTGACAAATTTAATATGATGGATTTAATAATAAGGTGGTTAAAAATTGAAAAATATAAAAGACACAGAAAAATATTTCAGACGTATAGTCAGGGCCTAAAAGTTTGTAACACTTTTTTTTTAATGGATTTCGGAATGCAGCTTATTCACCAAGTGATTAGTTTTTATTTGTTGATCCATGAATAAGAACCAATTGCTCGGTGAGCAAGCTGCATTCCGAAACCTATCGAAAAAAAAGTGTTGCAGCCTTTCAGGCTCTGACTATATACATGGCGTCATAAATGCCTAGCCATCTGAATTTGCAGGGATATCGAGGCATGTTCAAGATGCGTCTTCCTTTCTAAATATTTGTGCATTATGACTAATGATTATTCGAAAAATGGTAATATAAATTTAAAATTGAACTAAACTTAATTCATAAAATATTTAAAATTGATATAATATATTATAGGACCATATATATGATAACACAGACTATAGAAATCAATGCCTTAAACAGTCTAGCTGGATCTTAAATGCTTGTATAATTCTGTGTGAATTTATATACTATATGTACGAGGGGCTACTCACTTACGAAATCGACGAGGAATTCAGTAAGTCCGGATCTACAATAGGTGTTTTAAGCCTTAAGCCATAAGAAATTGACCAATTACAGTCAAATCCGAGGGGAATAGTTCGCCCATTTTTTATGGCTTAAGGCTTAAAACCTTATTGTAGATCCAGGGTAAACGAGGCAGTCAAGCATTTCTCATTGAAATCAAGAAATCATCTGAAATCAAATAAAAAAGCATCGTCACACGCTCGGTCATGCGTCTCGAATTTCTTTTTCGGAAAATAAATAAAATCACTTTGAAATCACGTTGAAATAATGTGAATACAAGAAATCGGAAATCACTTTCGTAAGTGAGTATCCTCTCGTATTTTATATTTTAAATACTTTAATGGTGTATTTTGCCTAACCCTGCCCGCATATATATATATATATATATATACATTTCTTTTACATTTCTGCAATGTTGCAAATGAAACTAAAGAGGACGTTGCACCAACATCACCGAAAGATTTTACAAACGTTTCCGTAATATTTCGCAAATGTTTCTTGCGGACATTTGGACGTTACCACAATTTTGCAGAGACTTCTCAGAAACATCACGCAACGTCTGCGATAGTTTCAATGTTTTCAGTAGTATGTTCGTGCAATATTACAGAAATCCTTCTGTGTTATTAGGGTAAATACAGATTGTTTATGTTTAATATACATTTTTTAATATTCTTTAGGGCCGATTGTTCCATTTTTGAATAAAGTATGTGGTAATTTATCCAATAGATAAATAAAAGAATAAAAGTGTAAGAGCATAAGAGAGTGAAAGAGTTAAGAGAGTGAGTTGAAATTTATCGAAAGGTGGAACAATTTAATCTTAGACATTATGTAAAACATACATGTATTTATGGCGCAATAATATCACAGGCTTATTTAAAAAGAGAATTGTGTTTTTCAGTTATCATCTTTAAATATATAGCGGTTTATAGTGCTACATTGAGAAAAAAATGCTGTTGATTCAATTAAAGTCTATATTACGGGCTATCACTAGCATTTATGTATATTTTTATTGACATAAAGACATAAATTATTATTTCAATCAAGGCCTTTATGTTAATAAAAATATATATGAATTAATTACTTATGTTAGTGACAGCCCGTAATATAGATTTTAATTGAATCAACAGCATTTTTTCTCAGTATATATATTAATTATCGTGCCGTATATATCTATTTAATATGTTTAACTATAATAATTTCAAAAATTTGTTATTGTATTTCTAAATCGAGCAGTCGTATTGATTAGTAATCGATTTCTCGGATATTTACATCGTAAGAATAGTATTCTGCGTTCTTTCCGGTATCCAATTTTGATAATTGTGAAAAGTTATTGATTTATATTTGAATTTAGTACAGTTAAAATATAATATTTTTGGTCTATTTTTTATGGCTGAACTAGTATACACTTTTGGAACTTAAAGTAAAATAGATATATGTTTGATATTTGATGAAAACGAAAAAGAAAATTCTAGTGCGGGAACAAAAGAAACAGATTTCTTGTCGGATGGCGCGAAATGCTCGTTGTCGCGATGTTATCGATCAAGTTTCTTCCGGCAATCGCTTCGTGTTGGGAGATAACTCGATAGTAACGAAATTTCATATTCGGCGCTGTAAGTCGGTATTTCGTTATCGTTAGGTCGGAAAATTATTTCGCGGTGCTACCTCGCGGCTCTTGCTCGGCGCGCATGCGCCGGAGCGTGGCATTGATCCTTCTCCTTGTCCCAACGGTCTTTTATTATTTCGCTTGCCTTTCCATCGCAAGGATTGCGACCTCTTTAGGTCGTGATAACCGAGGCAATAGCTACGTTTACACCGTGCGCTTAGTCCGCGACCTATACGATAGGTGTCTTTGTTTAATATACAGGATAAACAAGGACGTCTATTGTATAGGCCGCGGCCTAAATGCACGGTGTAAACGTAGCCTTTGTTTAACCTATAGGATAAACAAAGACATCTATTGTATAGGCTGCGGCCTAAATGCACGGTGTAAACGTAGCTTCTAAATGCACGTAGCCAATGGCTACGTTTACACCGTGCGCTTAGTTCGCGATATTAGTCCATCACTTTCAGTACATCAATCCAGAAGAAAGGATTAGACATGATCTGGCCACAGTATACAGTAGCGCAACTCTCTGTCGGCACTTTTGATGTTGGTGAAGCCAAAATCGTAGCGCGCATGCGCAAGTTGAGACATTACATACGGTAACGCCATCTAGACTTCTCTCTCACTTACTCTCTTAGGCTGTCGCATCCATCTTCCGTAACAGTAAGGGCCATCACACATAAAATGACATAAGCTGCATAATCATAGCATAAGGCTGCTACCAATGAGCATCTTATGTGAATCAATATGGCGACATTATGCTGGATGCTCATTGGGTCAGCAGTCTTATGTTACGTTTATGCTCTGTTATGCATTTCATGTGTGACAGGCTTAACCATAAGATGTACCGTAAGAATAAGCCAATCACAGTCGAGAATTCTTTTGAACTTTTAATTCTGATTGACTGATTCTTGCGTTATGTCTTATGTTACTGTAATATTAAAAAATTGAAAATATTTGTATAATATATGGTATACCTATCATATTTTTTAGGAAACTTAAATGTCTTCCTTTTAATTCAAAATTTCCAGGACATCCATTTATTGAACAATATATTTAATTTTTTTCCACTCATTTTCTTGATGTGTAATCTATTTTCTTTTTATATCTAAAACAGAGCTAAGATCAAAGTGTTTTCTGCAAGAGAATTGAAAATCTGTATGATATATATGTACAGATCTACAATTCTCTTTAAGGATAATTATCAGTTTCTTTATTCTTTTCACTTAACTTCACTCTATTTCACTTCACTGCACTTCACTTCACAATAATCCACTTCACTTTACTTTTTTTCACTATTAATATCTAAAACAATTTGCAAGACATCACCGACATAAAAGCATATGAACTTAATACTGCCGTTACCGCCAATTGTTACACAAACACTGCAACGATTAAGAGAAAGACCGAAAACACAAAGAATAAGTGAGAGAAAAGTTCAGATGGCGTTACCGTATGTAATGTCTCAACTTGCGCATGCGCGCTACGATTTTGGCTTCACATAATGAATAGAGTTGCGCTACTGTATACTGTGATCTGGCCGTATTGCCTCCGCTTATAGTAAGGAGGCAGGAGCTATTAACTATTAAGAAGAAGAAGAAGGTTGGAAAACACATCAAGAATAAAAATATCAGTGTGATAGATAGTGGATAATCTCACTTTTGGAATTTTAAAAATATTGCATATGCAGTTATATCCAAGCATTGAATACAATGTTCCGAATACATCATTTCATTAATATAGCCTCGCGTGTCGTTGCCGTTAAAAGAAATGGTGCAAGATTCTTAAATACGGTGAATATATTCTTAAAATATATTCTTAAAATGAGAGAGACAATCCAACAACCGTTGGGTATGAATTCCAATGAGTTACCATATGCTCACGTTTGCCAAGTTGGCGATCCTGTCTTGCGCGGTCATGTCATGAAGATAGAACCTGAAGTTATAAGAATGGCAGACTTTCAAAAGGTATTATTGCAAAGAATATCTATATGAAATTTGCTCTCCAAGTTAAACTTGCTATACGTCGATTGTTAGATCTTCATAAAAGAAATATTTTCGCCAAGCTTTAACCCCCTGTTCTCATCATTGCGAGAGTAGCAATTAAAAATATATTTTTTCATCATAATTTTTTTCTCTTTTTCTAATTCATGAAAAATTATCAAAAAAATCAGTTTAATGATGTTCTATTCAATGATGTTCTATTCATCAATAAACATTCTTGAAAATTTTTAGAATACAAATTCGAATTTTAAAGAATTCAAGAAGTTTAAAATTGCTAATATTTAAATGAAATCGAGTGACTATTCATTTTTTTGTCACAATATCTTTCCAATGTTATTCATCTTAAATTACTTCGGACTTTTTGGAAATAAGCGTCAATATTAAAAAAAAAAAAAAAAAAAAAATTGAAAACATGATATTTTCTCACATTTTTGTGCAGAGAAATGTAACTTAATTAAATCGATGGTGACCATTAAAATTGCAATATTACATTGTAATAATGGTAATAACTAAAAGTCTGCGTATGAGATATTAGAATAACTTTTTGTAATATTGTTTATGATAAGAAAATCAGTTATATGAAAGAAAACTTTGATTTAATTTTTATTTTTTAATAGTATATTTTTTCAAAAAGTCTAAAAAAAGAGATGAATATATCTGTATATATAACATTAAAAAGGTGTTAATTGTAAAATATAATATTACTCATTCAATGAAATAATCAAAACTTTAATGAAATAATAATTTTAAGCTTCTTAGAAAACATGGCGTTACTTTTATTTTTTCTGTACTCTTATAGTGCTGTTCTTGCCTACATCTGTTCTATTATATACATATACATTAAATATATGTATTTTATGTATACATAAAAAATAAAAGTAACGTCGTGTTATTAATCTAAGGAGCTTAAAATTGAGGAGATTGGCGAAATAAAGGCACAATTCTTATTCTTTTTCCGGAGATTAGCGCAAATAAACAAGGAATTGAGGTTGCTTACATTAGTTAAATATGAACGTGTTACGATTGTCCTGTGGTGGTGAAAATGATATAATGATTATAATCTATGGAAAAAGAGACATAAATGATTTAAAATCATTAATGAGATTTTTATCAGAGACTGAACGAAAATGGTACGACAATAATGTGTTTTCATTACAACATATTTATGTTAAAAAAATCTTACGAAAACTCATCAGATGATGATTGAACATTATTTCAATTTATTTTGTACAATTGAAAGTAAAATGTATTTCATATTCATTTTGTATTTCTTCTAGAAAAATGTGAATAGAAAATAGTTCATAGTCTTTCCTTTCTATCGATTCTTACAATATTATGATCAATATTCGGAAAAAGGAACTATAAGTGCATTTTTTAAATTGCAAATAACCTTTTAAATATTGATCGTAATAGAGAAATATTATAACATACAACTTCTCAAAGACACTATATAAATATACACTTAATACTGTTTCCATTCGTGGTATAATAAAAAAGTAACAAGTCATTTTAATTTTTATCAAAATCAAGATTTTGTAATTAGATCTTTATTCTTCCCTCAATTACTTTATTTCAATGATACTTTGTCAAGTGAGTAACATTATATTTTTATAGTCACAACACCTTCTCAATGTTAATATTTATCTTTTTTTAGATTTTTTGGAAAGATGTGCTGGTATTAAAAAAAATTAAATCAAGGTTTTTTTTCATATAACTGATTTTCTCGTCATAAACAATATTACAAAAAGTTATTATTCTAACATCTCATACGCAGATTTTTAGTTGTTATCATTATTGCAATATAATATTATAATTTTAATGACCGGTCTAATTAAGTTACATTTCTGCACAAAAACGTGAGAAAATATTGTTTTCAATTTTTTTACATTGACACTTATTTCCAAAAAGTCTGAAATAATTTGAGTTGAATAATATTGAAAAGGTATTGTGACCAAAAAAAATGAAATTAATCATTCGATAATTTCACTTAAATATTAGCTGCCAACTAATTCTGGCAGATATCTGAGTTTCATGTCTAATTACATAAGAGAGGTGTTATAATCGGACAACTAGACAGAATACTTTTTCTATCACATTCTAAATTCCATTACAAAAATATAATAGTGTGTAAGCATGATTAACATTCTATTAAATAATGGATATTCATTAGAGATAATTTTTTCTACTATTAAGAATAGAAAAACCTTATCTAATAATAATAATTTACACAATAATAGAAATTACACTCTAATAATATTATCCCAAAAAAGTATTTCACTATATCCTACATTAACAATATTTCTGAAAAATTCAAGTTTGTTGGTGTTAAATATGATCTTAATATTGCTTACAAACCTACGAATGTGAATCATCACATTAAACTTAGCAAAGACAGGCTAGATAAAATGCAATATTGTAATGTCGTATATAAAATTAACTGTTTAGATTGCGAGTCCTCCTATGTAGGACAAACTAAAAAAAGATTAAACACTAGAATATAAGAGCATAAAAGAGACATTAAAAAATCAATGAATCTGCATTCAGTTGTTTCTGTACATCATTATAACCATGACTTGAATTGGAAGGACATTCAAATATTAAACTCAGAACTATTTTATAAAAAAAATCCATTTAAGAAATGATTTATATAAAAAAACAATCCCATCCTCTTAACAAACAAAATGATACAGACAAATTACCGGATTTTTATCTTCCTCTCCTTAATATCTCTTCTCCCACTTCACGTCACATATCCCCTACTCCTCTTTCAGAATATGTCTCTAACGTATAAATACCACTCGTTTTATTTGTAATGCCACAAAAGTTTTTGGGATTTAAGCGAGCATGACATCCACATTAGCAGTAACTATATAACTATATAACTCACATGGTTTGTTCTGATGCAGATAACTTTTTTTAAACTTATCTTACACTAAACAATAATTGTAATAATAATGAAATAATATTTATAATTAGAGCTTGGAAACTTTCGCATCAGTCAAATTCACCTTTGACTTCGATAAAAAATGTCACTTTATCAGCAAGAGTAGTTTCAAGTTTCTCAATTGACAAGAGTATCTTAATTTTTTTATATTAACAAGATGCCTTGCCTTCGGAAATTAGATGTAACGAAGATATAATATCATTTTATGTTGTATTATATTCAGCGCATAACGAACAATTTTCCATTCTTCAATTTTTATAATAATTTGTGTTTTGTAACTTATTACATTTCTTATTGTCTTAATCTTAATTTTAATATCTAATTTATATTATACTGAAGATGGTCTAATATAGACCGAAACGTCTATACTTTTGTAATTTAAATTATAATATAATTCGCCACTAAAATCGTACGTTTTGTGGTCCTATTATTATTATTTTTAAATATTAGCAATTATAAACTTCTTGAATTTTTAAAAATTCAAATTTGTATTCTAAAAATCTTTAAAAATTTCCAGGAATTTTTCTTGATGAATAGAACGTCACTGATTTTGTGCATAATTTTTCATGAATTAGGAAAAGTGAAACAATTATAATGAAAAAATATTTTTTTAATTGTTACTCTTGCAATGGTGAGAATAAGGGGTTAAAACTTGGCGAAAATATTTCTTTCATGAAGGCCTAACAATCGACGTATAACAAGTCTAATTTGGCATGGGGGCAAATACATATTCTGCTGGACTCTTCATCAGTAAAGTCTTTTTAAATACAGAAGAGGTATTTGTAAATTAACGAGTTACTCTAAGGAAAAATACTTTAACTTAGCAAGAAAAAATTCTGAAATTATGAAATGCACAAATTGATATTTAAAAAAATATCAAAATAAGCAAAAAAATTTGTAACGAACGTACAAGAAAAAATTTAAAATTTCTAAAGAGAATTTTATGATTAATCGTAAAGATGATGAAGTTGTTATCTACATGGAAATATGTTATGTGAAATATGGAAATTAAAAAAAGAAGGCTAAATATTAAAATATGTTATGTTCGACAGTTATCTTTCTTTAGTGTAATTATAAAATAAAATTTAAATTATTTAAATTATTAAAAATTTTAATTATTTTTTTAAAAGCAAAGCAAAAATCATTTTTATATCCTATTTTTTTCACGTTAATGAATTTTAAAATTAATTTTATCATAAATTCTTTTTTATTATGTTGTAGGTAGTCACTACTATTCTAAATAAAAAATCTTACGATTTGACATAAAAATACAGAATTACATTGCTGATTACTGTTCATTATTCAGATAATTACACATTTGATAAACGTTATGCGAGTACATCAGGCGTACGGTTTAGCTGGGCCTCAAATCGGACTTCCCTGGCAAATATTTGCCATCGAATGCACGGAGGAGACTATGGAGGAAGTCGGAAAGACTGTTAGGGAGACTCACGAAATGAACGTCATCCCGATGACGATTTTTATCAATCCTGAATTAAAAGTTATAGACTATACACCCATTACCCTTTACGAGGGATGTGAAAGTATTAAAGGATATAATGCTGCTGTGCCGAGAGCCTACGAAGTGGAAATTAAGGCATTGAACGCTTCCGGCGAACAGTTCACGTGGAGAGCATGTGGATGGTCTGCTAGAATAGCACAACATGAATACGATCATTTACAAGTAAGAGCTACATCAGAAAGAGGAATATTTTTATAACACTACGAATAGAATAAGAACAAATTAGTTATGTAGAAAGTAATTTGTTTCTATTTCTCAGGGAAAGCTGTACATAGACAAAATGGACGTAAGGACATTTCATTGTACGGCTTGGGATGAAATTAATAAAAATAAGGGCAAAATGTACTTAAGTTATTTGCCGACGAAGTATTGATTTGTGTATGACACATATGAATTAATATTTACATTGATTGAAATAAATGCACAGTGTTTACATTAAAATTAAAACGTGCTTATTCACACTATACATATATGAAAGTAATATTTCAATCACTTTAATTAATTATTATTAGTGTCGTTTTTAAAGTAGCTGCTTTTCTTATCACATTCACATTTTTCTTTATGAATAGATAAAATTATAGTAGATAAAATTTAGAGTACAATCTACTCTTTATTTACAAAACAGTAATAATTATTTTTTTGTAAATATCTTGATCACGTTCGTTCTTTGATGACGAGACGAAACTGAAAAAATTATTTTATCTTTTCCTTGAACATATATTCAAAGACGATAAACATTCATGGAAAGAACAATTTTCCTGAAAGATTTAAAAGTTTGAAAATGGTTTTGTTGGCTCATCAAAATAATTTTGTTGGAAACTCAAACTGGCTACTAGATATCAAAATTTCTTGTAGCATTGCTCATCATTCTTCAGTTTCTAACATAATTATTTTGATGATGCAATAAAATTATTTTCAGATCTATATATCCAGCAAATTTTTAGATCTTTCAGTGAAATTGTTCTTTTTATGTATATCTATATGACATATAACATCTCTCTGGTAATAAAATTTACCTTAACAATAGAAATTGTTTGTACACCTCAGCTTTTTCTCTCAATATACAAGCGATCTTTCGTGACATTAACTTAAAACGTAACAGCTACATAAAAAATAGGATATTTTATTTATGCATTTTTCAGAATACAGTCATAATAGACTATCAGATATACGGTCACAGGTACACGGAATTATATAATACCGAATGAACGAATCGAATAAGTGTTTCATTTGTATAAACTGCATTTTGCGTGATTCTATTAAATTTACACTTCCTTGCGTTACATTCAGTCGCTATCTTACTAACGCAGCTTTGAATATCGTTCAATTACATTTTATCACGTAGTTTACATTTTTTAGTGATCTCTGATATGATAACAAATATATATTCTATTAACGTATATACTACTATTGCAGCTATATGATTCTTTCATTATGTGCTTTGACTGCGTTTTTCATTAAGAAGAAATAATTCTCTAATTTTTTATTTTAAATCTTTTATAAATATGTGAATAATATATCAGCCTACTGCAAAGTTTTTGCTCTTTCTCTCTTTCTCTCTAATTGCGATGGAGTTTACGTTTGTGAGAAAAATTTCAAATAAAATTTTTGCTCGTTTATTTTTTTTATTTAAAACGAGTTTTATCTAGATAGAAATTCCAATAGTTAGAGCGACTGATATAAAAAGCAAGTTATGAATATCACAACACAGTTATGAAATTCTCGGTATCGTAGATATTCTGTTTATTATTCCATGTGCGTCATTAATGTACAGAACTGTTTTGGACCATTCAAAGAGTTGAAGTGCGTTTTCTGATACTCAATTTTTTTCAGCTGTATTAGTTATCCTCTTATTCATAAATAATCACGACTCTGCGTATTTCCTTAATTATATACTTTTATTAGAATTACGTTATTATATGATGTGTATTATGTACACCTAAATCGTATCTTAAAAAGCGTTTGTTTTCCCAGAGTATTTCTTGCTCCGACAACATTTGAAAATCTAAAAGGAACATGAGTTATAAAGATATTACACATACATTTTGAATTTATTAACGTTGTTTTGCTTCCTTTAGAATATACTGAATAAATAGGATGAGACCGTATCAAAAGAAAGCACATTAAAATGAATCTCTTTTAAAATATCATGCACAATAATAGAGACGAGAGAAAAAAACTATAATTATTTAATATAAAAATGTAAATTGGATTTTATCTTTGCATGTATTAAAAAGTTGACTTACTACTTATCTTAATAGCTTCGAATATAAAATTACGTATTATTATTAAGTTTATTTCATGAGAAATAAAGCGACTGAGACTTTTGCAAATAAGAATAACATAGTGATAAATTTAGACTTATTGCATTATCTACGAATTCACAACCACATCTAGTGCGCGTTTAATGTATTCACATAATTTACAGTCATTAATTTATTAACAAAAAGCTTGCAGTTGACTGTGACGATATATAATTTTGTACATAATTTTATATATGAAATTTTATAATTTTTATTTTACTTAGCTTAAATTATGTGTAAATTTTATTTTTTAATTCTTAGGCTTATTGATTGAAGAAATAGCTTAGCTTTAAACAAAAGCCTTTAGTCTTGAATTTTTCAGTTTTCTCTTTGAAATAATTTTTATATACAATAGGACAATTACGCGATGATGTTACGCGTTATAAGTCATTATTCCTTAGTTTTAAACATTATTTTTCTAACACCAAATAATCGCGACTCTTAATGCGTTCATTTTCTTAAAAACATCACGTATTAATACTACGAAGAAACTGCAGTAAATACAATATTTTGGTCCGTTAATTTTTTTAAAAGACTATGAATGGTACGCCGATAGAGATAATTTAGTGATAGTCAATATAATAAAACCAGAAAAACGTAGAAAAACATGAGGCAGTAAGACGTAAGCAGTAAGCGAATTGGCCAATCACAATAGCGAATGTAAGGCAATGATGTCACGTTCTCTGTAGTGATTGGCCGAATTGGTTACTGGTTACGTCTCTGCACTACCTTACGTTTTTCTATGTGTTTCTGACTTTACTTTTTTAAATTACATGTAATAATAACACAGATATTTTTCTTTGCGACTAAAAAATGTCGCATGTGACTAGAGAGAGAGAGAAACTCGATTAAAGTTCTTGAAACAAAATAATTGCAGTTTTAGCCTAAGTATTATACAAGGCTAGCTTGACAGCGAGAAGAAATCGCTCCTTCCCAGGATGCTGCAAACGCAGGTGCAATTGAGCCGATTGCATCGTTGGTTTATGGAAAGAACGCTAGCATTAAAGGGGACTTAGATATTTTCATATCCAGGTATGTACTCGTTGTTGCTGAGAGTTTTCTTCCTCCTGTCAGGACACGTGTCCTCTCGTCTGCGAAGTCCTCCATTTTTTGTCATGATCGCGATGATGAGCCAGCAGTCGGTCGTTTCCTCTCACTGATTGCAGGTGCAGTGGTATTCGCACCGTGCCTATCGAATTAGAAATAGGGCTTGTTTGCATCGATACATCGATTGCTACGTATCGTGCTATCCAATTATACTACGATGATTAACAGCGCCGTTCCGTGCCGTTGAATTTAATTGTATGCGTACGTTCAGATATAATTCGTGCGAGTTATTGAATTAGTCGCGTTATGTATCAAAAATTAAACGAAGCTTTAAAAAAGTGAATGTTACTTTTTATTGCGTGCAATTATTCTAAAATCAACATATGTAAAAACTTAACTTCCCTAACAGCACATAACATCCTGCGTATCATCTTATTTTTCTATTGATTGTATTGTGATCATCTCAAACGATTCTAACAAACTGAGATTAACGCAGTAATATCTCGCACAGTATCATTCCGTTTTCTTTCACACGCATATAATCTCAAATTTGACTCAATACGAAATATCACGTGCGTATGATCTCAGGACGTCAAATGTGGGAAAAGTACATATACCTACGCCATCTGCATACGCAATTTCTCTTCCCGTCTTTTCCCGCTTGTCTGTTGCATCGAAACAAATGCAAAGAGAACATTCTCTCTGTCAGGTCACAGTAAGTTTCTCGTATGATGATGTGAATTTCCGCTTTATCGAAGATAACCTCATACAAACGAGTGACTAATGTACCGAATTTATCGTGTGGTATTAAAGAATTGTCTAACAAAAAAATCCATTCTGTCCATCAAAATTAGACGCTAATTCTAGCAAGTGATATATCATCGGAAAGCATGCTCACTGAGGTGATTACAGATATACGTACGTCGTTGAGCCTCCGCAACATTGCGGAACCATGGCAATAGGGTGATTCCTAGGCTGCATTCGGAAACATTATCCGAGTGTCCCCGTGTATCGTTTTATCGTTGTTATTCACCCAGTGTTAAACAAGGATAAGACGATACCCGAGGGCACTCAGGTGGTGTTTCCGAACGCAGCCCTAGACATAACTTTTGTCAGGTTAGTGCAAGTTATATCCGGAAGTTACCCTGTCACTGAGGATCCGTAACGTTGTACCCTCTGTATATACCGAAGTATTCATTCGGAAAGCAACGATTCATGTATCTGTGATCACCTCAGTGCGTGTTTTTGTAATAAAAATTGCAGTAAAAATCAATTAATAAAAAATTAATAATCTAACCCATCCTATGCGATATACTATGTAAAGAGAACATATAGTATGTAAAGTATAACGATATAGTATGTAAAGCTACGCGCGCGCGCCTGGTTGCGTATATATGTGCGTATGTAAGTGCGTAACCCTCCCGTTTTCATCATCCTTATACTGCTCTGAAACTGTAGAAATTCTACGGGAGACGGTACTTCGATCATTCTCAGAGCATACTACGTCAATCGTAGTACGTTTGAGATTATTCTGCGATTATCGCAATTATACTTTTGCGATAATCTCAGCTCATTCTCAGTATTTCAATGTGCTGTTAGGGTTATAACAAAACTAAAGTGTCAGGAATATATATGTATTTAATGTAAACTCAATGGATGGAAATACTGTGCGAAAAATAAAAATTCAATGGACTTTTATAAGAATATAACTAGAAAAGATGATATTAGTATTTATAACAATAATGGAATAACAAAACATCTACTCAATTAAAATGCTATAGGAAACGCGCTAAAATCACATATACTAAGGCCCGTATTCAGAACGCGCTTTTATCTCTGAAATTCTATAATATGCGTGACGTAAAGTATAGTATGTTAGCGCGCTAACATCGTTGTAAGCGCGTTCTGAATACGGGCCTATATGTTTTTATCTTAACACATTTTGTTATCAAGAATTAATCCTTTCAGCAATAAATTAATATGAAAATTTTGAGGTTTTGCATTTGTTAACAGAATTTATTCTTTTAAGTTCAAATTAAAGGTTTAATTCTTGATCTTGCAAAGAATA